TGGGGGTTGCACGCGGCGGGCACCGGGCAGCCCGGGACAGGCGGCCCCGCGTGTGGCTCACTGCGCAGCAGCAGCTCGGGATTTCTGTTATTGCTGGTCCCTGAGCCAGGCCTGCCATGCTCTGCGGAGAGGCCCCTTGTCCCCCCTGCCCCCAGTGGCACCCCCACGCTGCCTTTGCCGCAAGGGGAAACCCAGCCGGTTCGGGAGCCCTTGCTCATTTGGCACTGAGGGCAGCCCCGGCTGAGGGGCGCCTGGAGGGGCTGCAAGCAGGACTAAACTTCACACTTGCGGGACTAAACTTCACACTTGCGGGACTAAACTTCACACTTGCAGGACTACAACTTCTTCACGCTTACGGGACTACCTTCTTCATCCTGCAGACCCTTTGCTTGCAGTTGTGTGGCCTCTTGACTGCCTTTCTTTTTTTTTTTTTTGAGGAGTCTTTTTTTATTTTCCCTCCTTGTATTTTTAAGCATGGTCTTTTTGAGACCTGGGGTGCAAAAGGCTCTTAAATACAGGTGTCGCCATGGCAAAAGTCTTCAGGGTCTGTGAGGAGGTCCCTCAAGAGCTGGAGGTGGGGGATGCACGGTGCTAGACCCCGAGAGCAAGTGTCCCCCCTTAAATCCAGCAAAAGCAAGGCTTAGCCCCCGCCCCAGCATGCGGAAGCCTGGCTGCACTGCGGGCTGGGGGTGTGAACATCTCCAGCTCTTCGGGCGCGCGTGCTGCAGCCTGCGGGCTGTGTTCCCCCTCCTCTCCATCCCACAGCACCTCCGCAGGCTTTGCGCTCCAGAGCCTGAACTCCAAATTTCCTGGCTGCTGGCTGATGCGTATCCCTGTCTTCATCTTGAATTCATGCTGGGACGGTGTCGTATGCTTTTGAACGTGTGTGTATATTACAAAACGGTGTTAAATGTTCAGTGTAGTAATCTGGTGTTCCCGTTAATATGTGACAAATATTTCCCAATAATGGCTTGGCAGCGGGAAGAGCAGAGCGGTGCAGGAAGGTGGGATTGCTCCCTTCCTCAGCAATTCAAACCATCTGTATTTGGGGAAGCCGAGCATTTAAAATCCTCCCTACCTCTGCAGACTCAGCAACTCCAGCGGCTCTCTTGCTGCGCTTAGCATTATTTATATCAATTTTTCTTGTTGTTATTTTTTTACTATTATTTTTACCCTAACTTAATACACAGGGATCAGCTCTCTCCAGCTTGCTGTGGAAGTTTGGCGCCGTACGTTGGGTGGTTCCCAGGGTGGGCTGGGGGTGTGAACATCTCCAGCTCTTCGGGCGCGCGTGCTGCAGCCTGCGGGCTGTGTTCCCCCTCCTCTCCATCCCACAGCACCTCCGCAGGCTTTGCGCTCCAGAGCCTGAACTCCAAATTTCCTGGCTGCTGGCTGATGCGTATCCCTGTCTTCATCTTGAATTCATGCTGGGACGGTGTCGTATGCTTTTGAACGTGTGTGTATATTACAAAACGGTGTTAAATGTTCAGTGTAGTAATCTGGTGTTCCCGTTAATATGTGACAAATATTTCCCAATAATGGCTTGGCAGCGGGAAGAGCAGAGCGGTGCAGGAAGGTGGGATTGCTCCCTTCCTCAGCAATTCAAACCATCTGTATTTGGGGAAGCCGAGCATTTAAAATCCTCCCTACCTCTGCAGACTCAGCAACTCCAGCGGCTCTCTTGCTGCGCTTAGCATTATTTATATCAATTTTTCTTGTTGTTATTTTTTTACTATTATTTTTACCCTAACTTAATACACAGGGATCAGCTCTCTCCAGCTTGCTGTGGAAGTTTGGCGCCGTACGTTGGGTGGTTCCCAGGGACTTGAAATATTTGCCTAATTTTTACTGGTGTAAATGTTGTCTTCAAGCGTCGCTCACTATCTGCCGTCTCCCCGCGTGTTCTCGCCAGGTAATTAGCACAACAGAATTTCCCTGATTGCTGGAGATCAAGGAGGAGGGGGCTCTGCTTGCGTTGTAGCCTTGACAAGGGGCAGATGTTTTCCAGCAGGCCAAGCGGGACGCGCTCGGCTCCGTGAGCGCCGGCTCCTCGTGGCGCAGGCTGGCGTGATTGCCATTCTGTTACCGCTCTTGTGCAGCTCCAGGGTCTGGGTCTGCAGCTCTGCGCTTCTGAGTCAGG